GACCGTCAAAGCCCAGTAATCCATCCCGGCTCGTTTGGGGCCAGGGAAGAGCCCACAAAGGCCCAACTGCGGCGCCCCAACCCCACCTTCCGCAACGACCCACACAGATAGGACTCGCCGGCTGCTTCGCCGTCCCCTCGCCGTCGCGTCGCGCACAGGCTCTGAAACCCTACGCACCAAAACCAGCCACTCCCAATGGCGGCCGCGACGGCGACCGCTGCCGCACCGGCCGTGTTCGCCCCGGCGCTCGTCTCTCCCCTATCGCGCCGCGCCTTCTTCCCGCTCCCCCGTCGCGCCGGTCAGCCCGCCATCCCTCGGTCGCTGCGGTAATCCCGTACCACCTCGCCCTTTTTCTCTGTATTTTATTGAGGATTTTACGGGTGGACGCGATAAATCTTTTTAATTCTTGCCGGGAACTGAAGACTCTTGGCGTCGGCGCCCCCGAGGAGATGCGGGGTGGCCGTGAATGCGGCGGCGGCAGGGGCCGCTGACTTCAACGACGATGAGAGCTCTTATGAGGTAGACGCTGAAATGGGCTACATGACAAGATTTCTATCTAATATTGTGCACTTGCTGAACCTGTGTTCTGATTTTGTGCTGTTTGGGGTTAGATTCTGGGCATTACCCCACTCGATAGCTTCGACAACATGAAGCTAGCATACAAGAGGAAGCGCAAGGAAGCGGAGGAGACAGGAGATGAGGACTTCTTGGCCAAGGTTATGCAGTGTTTTGAAGATTTGAGTGATTTTGGCTTGCACGCCTTATTAGTTTTGTTGTGGTGCACTAATGGTGGAGCTATTGGGATTTCAGCTGGAGAAAGCGTATGACACTGTGATGATGCAGCAGCTGCAGTATAGGAAGAAGGGGGTCACATATGGATCGGTTGAGGTAGGCTGTTATGGCGTGCATGGATCCTGATTTTTCATAATTGGGACACTAACAAGTTACAAGATACGCACTGCATTAGTTACCATATGTAGATGTTTATATATCCTATTTGTAGAAGGATAAAATGGAGTAATTAAGCATATCCTATAGAAGGCATTGTTGGTCAAAAGGTACGGTGCGGTTATACCTTATGAAGATAAGACTATAACTGCATTATAAATATCCTAGGAAATGTACAGATGGATAGACTTGTAGGTTGAAACCATCTAAGTCCTTTCCTCCTAATGTTCTCCACTTAATATGATCTTCTTCATTACTTGTCTCACTTACTTTCTGAATGTCAGGTATCAAAGGATATCAAGTATGCTGACAATCAACCAATAGTTCCTTGGGGACCTAGGTACATTTAACTCAAGTTCAATATAAGGAATTTCTATTTCCTTGTTCCGTCGACATTATTTTTTCTTGGTTCACTTGATTTTTGTGATTCACGTTATGAAAATGGCAAATTCATTCCCTTTATTACCCATGAGTGTCGTCATGAAAATGTTGCTGGACAATTTTAACTTAGCAAGTCAGCATGATAAGCAGGTCTATCCCCCAAGCGTGCATTGCCCTGTTTAGTTCAGCCATCTCCATGTTTATGCGTTTAATTTGGTACCAAGGACCAATACTCTTATTCTATATGGGCAGCATGACTTTTTTGTTGACAAGGACATGTGCACCAAGCACTTGTAATTTGAACTAAACAGCAGCATGCATGTGAAGTTAATACTATTGATAAGTTTATGCATCTTGCAGACCCTCCAAATCAGCAGTAAAGGATGTGCGCATAAATATGGCAATATCAGCAGCAATTGTATGATCTTAACACATTCCTAGCTATTGCTGATCTATTCACTGTTATGTTTTTATGCTTTTCAGAGTCTACTTTCTGGTTATTGTGACTATCACGTCCATATGATTATTCTCATAACAAATTCGATTGATTTGAAGTTACCAACTCTAAAATATACTTAGGATAAGTTGTAATGCTTGAGCGTGCATTTGAAATTTCTGCATGCATTTTAATTTATTGTTGTTATCAGTTAAGAAGTTACACCATCCTCCTAGTTAAAAGTCGATGCCGTATTAGCCTAAAAGTCTGGTGTTCAATACTTCTCATTTTGTGTTCTTTGGGTAATGTTTCCATTAAAATGCCCTTATTAAGTATTGAATGCCAGGAATTACCTCTCTGAATCTCTTCAACAAAGTCTTTGTCTAAATGCTCGTATGTCTCCCTCGCCAATTTGTTAAGGCCTAACATATCAAAAACTAAGGTGTTGATATTTTCCTCATCTTGTGTGCCCAAAGTTCAAATGCATCTATTTGGACAAATGAAATTATGTTTATGGATGTTTATTCCTTGACTAGAAATGCATCTTTATTTTGCAAAAGATGTTTATTTCAGTTATATTGCAGGTTGTTTGCATTGCTATCATCGGTAATGCGGACTGGAAGCCTTTGCAGTTCTTGTGTTTTGCTTTCTTCTACAGAATACTTCAGAAGCTGAGGGTTACTGAGCCACCAATAACTCCAATATATAATGTGAGACCATTTCCTTGTCACTTACTAGCCTATAATTAGCACATTACTGTACAGTGTTGAACCATTGTTGTCTGCGTGGATTTTATATGTATTCAGGAGTTTAACATAATCATGTTTTCTGGTGCTTTCTGCAGGAGTATGGTGAGGTTGAGGGAAGAGGGGTACGAATGGCAAAACGTGTATTCCGCGCTTTGGGTTTGATATTTGGATGTGTATTCGCTGCGTCCCTGGTCAGTGTTGTTATCTTACACAATGCATTGCTGCTAGATTCTTCTTGGGTTTTCCTGCTGCAATGTCATCTACGACCGCTTGTAGTTTCTGTTTGCATTTTGGTTGACTATTCTGTCTGCTATTCTTTTCAGGGTTATACAATAGCTCTTAACTTGGTTGAGTTATCTTGGCAGCAGACTCCCCGTATTGTTTATTACTACCAGGTATAGTTAACATCAGTGTGCACTAGCTTTTTTCATATAAAATGTGAAGTGTGTGTAGATGCATCAGCTATATTGTACTCCCCCCGTCCTAAAATAAGGGTCTCAACCTTAGTAAAACTTTGTACTAAAGTTAACATAAAGTTGAGACACTTATTTTGGGACGGAGGGAATAGAACCATAGTGATCTGTGAGTTGAGCACACTTGTTCATGGAGGGTAGCGTTCCATGTCAACAACGTGCATGCTGGCTAGATTAACTTTTGGTCCTTGGCTGCATCACATCATCTAATGCTCACTTGTGATGTATTAAATTATTGTGTGTAATTATTTGTTTCAGGAGTTGATTGTTACAGCAGCTGCCTCTGTTCTGCTGTGCATCACGGCTTCGTACTACCGATAAAGAGTACTGGAGGAATTATATCCTGGCTTAGAAAACCTTTGGATGTTAGGACGAGGTGGGCAGCTTTTGGTGAGACTCCACTCTTGTGTAGTGGTGTCACATTAGGGAAAAGCCAAGACGCGGACACAAAATTTTCAAATATACGTACTTGTGCCAGCATTTGAGGTAGAGAATTTTGGGTGCATGCTTCTGTTTGAACAATTGTGGAACTCACTGTGCAAAAGGCGATGGCTGGTGAACATATTTTGTGTGCATATTTAGTGGTGTAATGTATGAAATTGAAAACATATCTGATTCTTATCCGTATGAAGACTGATGGGTCCTTTAAGCCATCTGCTTGAGGTTTGTTTTGGTGTTGTCAGCAAACATGGCTTACGTGTACTGTACTCCCCCCTTTCCAAATTAATTCAAGTTCTAGGTTTCTCTAAGTCAAACTTCTTTGACTTTGATCAAGTCTACTGAAGTTCTAGGCCTGTCATAATTGAGTACGTACTTGCTTGTCGCAGCTAGTCTGGTCTAGAAATGTGGCTGCACATCTTTAAATCTGAAGCTGCACAAAATTCGTGCAGTTTGCAACTACTCAGTTAACCACTAGATAAAGAAAGATGAAACAGTCAATGTCCAGCATCGTTTGTGTAGGAGTAACAGTTTTCCAGCGCTCACTAAGAAAAGTTCATTCTTAACCAAGGTGTTTTTCAAGCCCTAGGCGCTGAGCAAGCGTTGTGCCTCTGCTTAGTGCAATGACAGCTTAAGCGACGCCTTTCGTACGGATGTCGTACGGGCAGGACAGGAAAGGGCGCCCAAAAATCAATTTCCAAAGCAAGTAAGACATGTACAAGCCTTTTTTTTTTTGAGGGAAAAGGCATGTACAAGCCTAAAATAGCAAGCATATTGGGGAAGGAGAGACGATGAGGAGCTCAAGATGGGGGAAGGAGAAGAAAGCTGGCAGCGACGAGCTCAGGGAAGAGAAGCCACCAGGCTCCAGCCTAGACGAGGAGGAGCCTGGGAACCGAGAAGAAGGGGAAGGACTAGGGTCGAGGTCGGGGGAGGGGAGCTCAAGATCCAGCCACAGCGCTAGGTCGGGGAAGAAAGCACGATGCGCAAGGTCAGACTTGCTCTCCTTTGTTTCTCTCACCCTCTCCTTTTGACTAATCCTAGCGCGCTCAATTTTTCACTGTTCTTAACTGAAGAAATACATAACCAAAGCGTTTGACACAGTTGCGTTGACACTTGAAATTTTGAACTAACACATTTTCGCCCCTCTCTGGTTTCAACCAAGAGAACTCACACGTGTACCAAACCAAAAAACTTTGAAGTACCAAAGGGTTCCGATTGTCTTGTACTTCTATTCAATTAGAACCAACTGATTCAGAAGAAAAAACAACCAAGAAATAGTTAAATGGTATGCTTTATAGCTACCAAATTTCACATCAACAACATCAGAATATAACAAAATGGTTATTTACCAGTTAGTTACAAAAGAATGGGACAATTTCTCTCTTTCTCGAGAAGCTGAATTGCAGCAAAGTAAATACACCTATACAAAAAAGCATTATCTAGAACAAGCTCGCCTCCTGAAACCATAATCCCAATTTGTATGTATTCTAACACTTGAATGCAAGTAATGCTGACGCTATGGAGACCGTGCATCCACCGGTCAAGAGAATCAACCACTGTTACCAAGCCCAGCCATCATCCCCGTAAATGTGGCTACTGCAAATCCAAGCACCGCGCCAGCAAAAACCTGATAAGATACCTCAGAGTCAATAAATACATATGTGAGACCAAGAATGTTGAATATGTCCCATGGTTTCGTGCACTTTCATCAGGTAAGAAGCAAATATGATGGGATAGGGACTAATCGCTTCATGCACTTGTGTACAAGTAACATGTGTTAGTTCATGAAGAATTAGGCATTCATCTTCCTTAGCATGGTTGATAAGGGAGCAACAGATCAAACCTGAGGAGGCGTGTGTCCTATGAGCTCTCGCAGCGGTCTTGTTTCAGCAAGTGGATGCTCTGATGGTAGCTCGTATACAATTTGATTCAAGACCTAGCAATTTATTTAAAACAAGTTATAACTGAAAGGAGATAGAAGCATCGCCAGAAGAGCAGAAAAATAGTGAATATACTCAACTTAAAATTATGGTGCTTCCCAGGTTATGCATATATATGGACTTAATAATAGCATGGCCTCTTAGGTTCACAAATTTTAACTAAAGGCACTGGTCACCAATGACTTCTGTGGTAAAATGTTACTCCATGAGCTATTTAAGTGGACACAATTTGTTGTTCATCACCTAATTTGTTACTTCAAATAATGTTACTCCTTCTGTGGTAAAATGTTACCTCAAATAGCGAGTATAATTTGTTGTATGAACTATTTAAGTGGACATAAGCAACAAAACAAGCAAGGAAGTACATACGGTACTCACTAATGAGACTACAAAGTGTTACAACATGTCAACAATGCAATAAAGCCTAGATTGTTCTAGGCTTCCAGCTAGATTTGCACTTCTCTAGCTGAATAAGAGACTGTAGTTTTAGCAATGGGCCACCACTTGCCATTCATAAAGTTGTTCGTTGCTACCAGTATTTATCTGACATAATCCTTTGCGTCCATAAATTATTTTACTATTGAGTAGTTACAAATATTTGAAGGTTTCAGATAGTACCTCTGCTTGCCTCCCTGCATGTAGCCTAACACCAAAAGCATCATACATCACCTGCAAATTTGCATTGCCAGAAAGATGGCTTTAGCGAAGATGATGAAAAAAAAAGTAGCGCATATGTAATGCAGAGTGCTGCATTTTCAGAAGATGACATGGAATCATAAGCAACATGGCAAGCTCGTCGGGATACCACTATGCAAGACGTAGGGGAGTTAAAAAAAATACAGCCGTGAGATTAGGCGGAGAGACTATCCGTTTGTATGGTTGTACCTTGTGATGAACTCCTCCACACGATTGATTTTCAGTACTACTTATGCACAATAGGGGTGATTTTCTCATGCTTGCCACTGTCCTACTTTCTACTTGTTTGCTCAGGTTCGCAAACAAAGTCAGACAATATCACCACCATGGCCACACCATGCCCCCAACCACATATATTATCTCCTCTATGTGATCAGAGATTTCAGGTGTTTGTGTTTAAGGCGCTTGCATTTTCTTCTCATGTGTACTGTACTTTCTATTATACTCCCTCCGTCCCATAATATAAGAGCGTTTTTGACACTACACTGGGACGGAGGGAGTAGTAATAACTGAACCAAGATATGCCGTCTTTAGGTTTTCTACTAAAACTTCGGTCTTGACTAAAATTTAGCTACTGAAGTGATCCAAGAAATGAACGAAATGATGTGTAGGTTTACCATATTATTTACTAGAAAAGGATACTACTCGTCAGATCGACGACTCATCATCGAAAGATCCAACATTTCTAACAGCTTGAACAATCAAGAGAGAAACAGGGCTAACCACAGAGGCGAAGATGGCAGCGGTGGCGAAGAGCGAGCTGCTGAACCCTTCCTGTAGGCCGATGGCGACTGCGAGCGCGGTGACGGTGGCCGAGTGCGAAGACGGCATCCCCCCGGACCCCACCAGCTGCTTCGCGTCCCACCGGTTCTCCTTGTACCTACGCACGCGCGCACGGATCCCGTGACGGAGAGCTCAGATCCAGCCGGCGCCGGATGGCAGGGTAGGGCGGGTGAGGCGAGCGAGAGAGAGGCGTACCATGTGGTGAAGACCTTGATGGACTGGGCGATGGCGAAGGCCAGGACGGCGGCGATGAGCGGGCAGTTGCCGAACACGGCCAGGTAGGAGAAGGCGGGCGACGCCGCGGGCGGAGGCTGCGCGGCGGAGGCGGCGTCTCCCATCGCGGCCGGCTGGTTCTAGAAGCTTCCACCCTCCGCCTCTTCCTCCTTGCGAGAAGAGAAGATCCGGGTCGGCTCCGACACGCTCACCCGCCGCGGTGCAGTCGACCCAGTCAGTGCTAGGCGAGGTGCCGGCGATTGGAGATTTTGGAAGCGTCCGAGCTGGCAAAATGGGCCCGGGCAGCTGTTAGGGTTGATGGACAAGTGAAGTCACCATATCATGTGAACACACATGATACCGCATCTCAAAATTCAAAATTGCAAAGTCCATTGGCGCTGGGAACCAGGGGGAAAGACAATTTAGTGGTGCTGGGAATCAAGGGAAGGGTTTGTGACGGCAGAAGAAAGCACCTCAGAGTTGAGAGGGGAGAAGGGGCTAGAAATCGCAAGATCGTTGGGTCGCCCTAAAATGATTTTGTGAAAACTTAAAGGCGGGCAGAACATACTACCTCCGTCTAGGTGAATAAGTCATTCGCGTAGTTCTAGGTCATCGATTTGAGGAATTAAATATGTGTTATATGTCATGAAAAGTATATCACTAGATTTCTACATGGATGTAGTTTCTAAATATATATTTTTTATCACATATAATACATATTTAGATAGTTAAATCGTCGATCTAGAACTACGTGAATGACTTATTCACCGAGACGGAGGTAGTATCCCCTAAAGCATATCGCAAATTTAAGAATACTAATCATACATACTCCCTCCGTCCGGGTTTATTAGGCCTAAAGACAACTTTTCTTAGACCAAGACATATAGTAATTTGCGCACATTAACTCTTCCATTTCACTCCCAATGCACTCTCTCACATGCATGCAGCCAATAAAAAAACACGCATGAAGTGTATTAATTTTCCAGCCATGGCACCAACAACAATGACTTTCAACAACCATGGCACCTTTCTAAAACGAGGCCTTGTAAAAAGGGACATGCTTGTGATGCTGAGAGGCCTAATAAACCCGGACGGAGGGAGTAGTTCCCACTACGAAGTTCATCACTACACATCGGAGTTCATACATAGCTAAAAGGGATAATTGTTTCTGTGCCCTTAGTTGGGTCACCCTCGACTGATTTGCCCCTAATTTTGGAAAACACGCTGTCTTGCCCAGTTTTGACCGCTCCCCTTGCGTTTTTGCCCTTCCGGCACGTCTCCGTCCAAACGACGCGTTACTTTGGACACCGCTTGCCCCCGTGCTCACTCGCACTCTCTCATTCCCCACTCTTGCTCTCTCTTTTCCCCTCTGACGAACCCTAAATTGCGGCGCCGAGCGGCGGGCGGCCAGATCCATTGTGCGGGGGGCCAGATCCATTGCAAGGTGATGGGGGAGAGTGAAGAAAGCGTCGGCGGTGGCCGCTGCAGTGGTAGGAACAGCACACCTCCACTGTAGCACGGAGAAGGCTGTTGTGGCGGCACCAACGACGACAAGGGAAGCTCCTGTGGCGGATCTGCACCAACGGCGAGAAGCGGCGGCGGATCTGCACCAACAGCGACAAGCGGGGGCGGATCTGCACGGCAAATCCCCCCAGGGTTAGCAGCAAACCTGATTTTCCCAGTTTTTTCAGATGAGATTTGCTTGTATTTAGGGTTTAGTCTAAAGTTTGTGTGTTTTGTCCCTGGATATTGTTCCCCCATAGGATGGATCCAGCTACATCGTTCTTTCTTTCAGTTCGAATGGAGACCACTGTTCTATTTTCTGCTGGTACAAAAGGAAAAGATTGTGGATTCACTTTTTCTTTAGTTGTGGGCATCACTAGTTCATATGCTAATTTTAGGGCTGCCATTTGTGCCAAGTATCCATGGGGATTGTTTGATGTTGTGGAGATCAGATATTGGGATAGTTCCAAATTTGTTGGGTCCCTGTGCAGTGTGATGCAGAGTTAGGTCTGATGTTTGCAAGTAATGCAACAACTATGTCATGCAATTTGGAAATCACAGTTATACAAAGAACTAGAGGTCAGAGATGTGTGAACACATCTAGTTCTAGGCCATATGCATCCAGAACTAGGGCTAGCAGTAGAACACCAAGTGGTCCTAGAACACCAAGTGCTTATGCAACTACAAGTGTCAATGAAAGCCAAGAAAACCAAAAGAAGCCACTTGATACTGTTGTGGAGGAGGCATTGCCTGATGCACCTGGTGTGGAGGATGAGGTTCTATATCCTGGATATGTCCAGCACAATAATGATAAAGGAGATGCAGCAGATAAAGAGTACATTCCTGCAGAATTTTCAGATGCAGATGAGGATGAGAAGCAAGAGGATGTTGAGATGGGAGTTTTTGAAGATGCAGAAGAGGACAGACCTGTAAAGATGTATGACAGGGAAAATCCATGTATTGATGAAGGTGTGCTTTTCCCTAGTGTAGTTGACTGCAGAAATGCAGTTTCAAGCTTCTCAATCAAGTCTGAAACTGAGTTCCTTACTCTAAAAAGTGATCCAACAAGGTTTACTGTCAGATGTGCTTATGAGAGATGCAAGTGGAGACTGCATGCCTCTTTAATGAGGAAGAGCACACTATTTCAAGTATTGCATTTTAGTTTATTTTCAGGTATTGCATTTTCTGTACTAATCTCATTGTTTTTTTGGTTTGTTTCAGATTAAAGTCAACCCATATCAGCATACATGTCCGAGTGTGAATAGATCTCAGAGATTGAGAGCTGCAAAAAGAAGATGGATAGCAGATGCTTCTATGGCTTGGATCAGAGCAAATCCAGGAATTGGTACAAAGGAAATTCAGAGCAAGTTGTTAGAGAAATATGGTGTGGAGGTGCCATATGAGAGATGCTACCATGGCAAAGAGATTGCACTTGACAAACTGTATGGAAAGTATAGTGATAGCTTTCAGTTGTTATATACTTTCAAAGTTGAAGTAGAGAGGGCATCACCAGGCAGTATTGTGGAAATTGAGAAGCACACAATTGAGTACAAGATGAATAACAAGAAGTTCTACAAGGAGTGCTTTAGAAGGGTGTTTGTGTGCTTCAAAGCATGTCAAAAAGGTTTTCTGGAGGGGTGTAGGCCATACCTAGCTGTAGATGCTACTGCACTGACTCGTAGGTTCAGAGGGCAACTTGTGGCAGCATGTGCACTAGATGGACACAACTGGTTATTCCTGTTGCATATGGTGTTTTGGAAGGGGAGTCAATTGAGAGTTGGACTTGGTTTTTTAGCAACCTAAAGAAAGTAATAGGTCATCCAAAAGGTTTAGTGATACATACTGATGCTTGCAAGGGATTGGAAACTGTTGTTGAGGATGTTTACCCTGGAGTGGAGCACAGCGAGTGCATGAGGCACTTGGCCCAAAATTTCAGCAAGAAATTCAAGGGGAAGTTTTATGATGATAATTTGTGGCCATGCTCACTAACTTGTAGCATCAAGAAACACAACTATCACTTGAACCAGTTGAAAAGCAAGCCCAAAGTAAAGGAATATCTAGAGGAACACCACACAAAAACATGGGCAAGAGCTGATTTCAATGAGATTAGCAAAGTTAACTATGTCAATAACAACCTAGCTGAGTCATTCAACTCCATAATCAAAAAATACAAGAGCCTGCACATAGTTGATCTGCTAGACAAGATTAGGCAGTATATCATGGAGAAATTTGACTTAAGAAACAGAATTGCCTCTGACCATTTCATTGGGCACTACATCATACCAGCAGTTATGAAGGTGTTAATGGAGAAAACCAAAGGTTTGCAAATGAGTATAGTGAGGAGAAGCCCAACAGAGGCAGAGGTGACTGCTACTGACAGTGAGAAGAGAGAATGGTTGTACCCTGTTAACTTAGAGCGCTGGTCTTGCAGTTGCAGACAGTGGCAGATCCCAGGTAAACCATGCATCCATGCACTTTTCTTTATCACTGCTCTAAGAGGTGAAGCAAGTGGGATAGATCAGTATGTGCACAAATATTATTCAGTTGACATGTTCAGAGTTACTTATGCTGAGAACCTCCCAGCTCTAGAAGGCAAGCAACAGTGGGACATTATAGATCCTGGATTCAAATTGTGTGCTCCTATTCAACATAGAGCTCCAAGCAGACCAAGAAAGCAAAGGATTAGAAGTGGCACTGAAGGAAAAGGCCTTGGTCCTAGGAAGCACAAGTGCAAAAGGTGTGGGAGATGTGGACACAAAGCCAAGGGCTACAAACAATCTGTTGATCCAGCCTCTGGAGAAGATGAACATTGGGGAGCAGACAATGCAGATGATCATCCTACAACCAATGAACCAGCAGAAGCAGAAATACAAGAGGAGGAGGAGGAGGAGGATGAGACAACACCTGATGTTCTTCAGCAGCAGATGCCACCACCAAAGGAGCCCTCACATGATGCATCTACAGGAGCTAGTTATGCAGTCAGGTATAAGATCTTGGCTTACAAATTCTTACATTTTTTGATCTTACTGCTTTATAAAATATTTCAAATTGTGATGTGCTTCCACTTGTTTTTGCCCTAGGAAAAATTATAAAAGGGCAGTAGCAAGAGGAGCTTCTCCCAGGTGTGTCAAGCAGAAAACAGTTATGGAACAGGAGCAAGAAAGCAGTGTTCAAATAGCAGTAGCAGCAGTTGAACCTCCAAACCCAGCCAAGAACACTAGAAGCAAGGCAATGCTAGCTCCAAACCCAGCCAAGAACACCAGGAGCAAGAAACTTAAGTTCTAGTGCTATGTTATATTTGCCAGTGATGTTATCTTGTTGTTATGCACTTAAGTTCTAGTCAGTTTGTTCAACAACTGCTATTTGGTACAATGTTAGTTTGTTCTATTTGGTACAATATCAGTTTGGTAAAATATGTGCTCTATTTGGTACAATTGGTTGCTCTATTTGCTAGTGTGTGTTGCTCTATTTGCTGAATTTGGCACTATATATGGAATAAATATGTATTTGGTACAGTGTCACAAGCATCAACAGTGAATCATGATATTCAAATTTAGCATACAATAGTGCATCATAAACAACATTCAACACATCTCTCTCACACACACTTTCTTCAACAACT